TAAAAGAACATTCTACTTATAAAACTTCGCCAAAAGACGAAGAACATATTAGATTGGAGGAAATTGAAAATAAATTTGCTGGAAAATCACCTTTCGAAGTTTTTTCTTTGTACTTCAGCGACGATGTCTGGGAAAAAATTGTTTATTACTCAAAATAATATGCAAATGATCACAACCGACATTCTTTTGAACTCAACAAGGTTAGTCTAAAACGATTTATTGGAATACTGATTTTTTCTGGATACCATACTTTGCCAGCTACAAAAATGTATTGGTCAAAAGATGAAGACAAAGGTATACCGCTTGTAAGAAATTGCATGAGTAGAAATAAATTTGATTCTATCAAGCAAAATATACATCTGTCAGATAATCAGCAACTTAATAAAAATGATAGATTTTCGAAGCTGACACCAATCATTGATCTTATAAATTCTAAGAATATGCAATTTGGGATATTCTCTCATAATCTGTCGATTGATGAAGATATGGTACCATATTTTGGGTGACACAGTTGTAAGATGTTTATGAAAGGCAAACCAATAAGATTTGGCTTCAAACTGTGGTGTCTTTGCAGTTCGAATGGATATTTATTTAAATTCATTCCATATGACGGAAAATCCAGTAACATTAAAGTAAGTGACCTAGGGTTAGGAGAAAAGGTAGTTCTAAATCTTTTATCTGTTGTCCAACAGCCGTCTAAACGTCGAATATTTTTTGATAACTTTTTTTCCTCGCATAAACTGTTCTGTTTATTGAAAGACAAACGGGTTTACGCCACGGGAACGGTTCGTGAAAATCGCACGTGTAACAATGCATTAGAATCGGTAAAAACAATGAAAAAGAAAAATAGAGGATATTATGATTTTTCTTTTGATGCTGAACATGAGGTACTGTTGGTAAGATGGAATGATAATTCTGTTGTTACTCTTACAACAAATACCTGCAACATTGAGCCGTTAGTAGCTGCTAAAAGATACGACCGAAAAGAAAAGAAAAATGTTGCTATTCCTCAACCTAAACTATTGGCAGATTATAACCAGCATATGGGAGGAGTTGATCTTCACGATAATGGAATATCGAACTACAGGATTCACGTCAAAGGAAAAAAATGGTGGTGGCCACTTTTTATAAATGTCTTAGATAGTGTCGTCGTAAATTCCTGGAAAATATATAATCTAGGATACAAACGCAAAATATCCCAGTTAGATTTCAAATCGCACATAGCACTAACGCTTATGAAAACGGAAGAACCTAATAGTGCAGAAAATGGACAAAGAGCAGGACCCAGTGGATTGAACACTACCGCAAACCCAAATTATGGACGACCATCTAGAAATGCTTTACCTACTACAGTGCGATTTGATAAAATCGGCCATATAATAATTGAACAGGAGAATAAGATACGACGAAGATGCAGACAGTGTAAAACCAATACCATATATATGTGTGCAAAATGTCAGGTGCATCTGCATTCGGACTGTTTCAAACTTTTCCATACGCCTATATGAATAATTATTTTTTGTCCCGTAATCCCAATGTTTCGTATACGAAACATTTTACAGCCGGTTTCTGAACCAAAAAATTTATGTTTTTTTTGTTCTTTTTAATTATATATACTTATTTTAATAAATAATAACCATTAAATCGTTCAAATATTTTTAATTTCTAACCTTGGGAATTAATGGGTTAAATATATTCCTCTTTTTTTGGGTCGCGCCTATGTTCAAGCGATGACTATTTCAATGACATGTCAATAAACGTTTCTTATTGTTCGGTTCACAGAGAAATTGCTCTACATCCAGTCCAGAGAGCCTTTTACGATCAATGAATCTTTTGACTTTTACTCTCGATACTCAAGTGAGGACCATGGTATTTACTGAATCGCATCACATGTCCAAATTAGCTAACTTTTCTCGTATTCACGAAACTGTAAATCTTTATTTAGAAGTTTGAGGTCTTCTTTATTGCTAGTGCATGTAGTCCAAGATTTCCAGCATTCTTCTGCAGCATTCATCATATCTCAACCTCCTCTATTGTATCCATTACGTTGACCTTTGTACAGGACGATCTGAGGGAGATTGTAGTGAGGGGCTGGAGAAGGCAGACACTCGATAGGGAAAGATGGAAGAATGTTTTGAAGCAGGCCAAGGCTCACGAAGGGCTGTAGCGCCATCTGATGATGATGTTGACCTTTAGTATCCATTGTTCTGAAGCTATTTTCTTGTGGCATTTTAAATTAATTACTATTTAACTGGGAATAAGCCACAATTAAAGAGAACAATACGTTTATTGACGTTGAAATTTCCACTTCGGAAATCGTTCTCAAAATACAAATAGTATTTTGAGAACGATTTCCGAAGTGGAAATTTAAACGTCAATAAACGTATTTTTATCTTTAATTGTGGCTTATTCCCAGTTAGATAGTAATTAATTTAGTGTCCATGTTTCGCCATCCCACACACCACTTGAGTGTGCCTAAATAAGTAAGGTTTCTGTTGGTTAGTGTAAGTTAATATTTACTAAATGGTTTCTAGCTCTTACTTCTTCGTCCCATCTAATTTTATTGTTAAACTTTCATTTGTTTATAGTATTTCTCCGTTATTATTGCGCAAAGTCATCGGTTTAGCAGCATATGCATACCCTTTCAGGGCAACCCTTTTTTTCAAGCCCTTCATTTTAAAAAGAATATTTTACACTTATATTATTGACAAGGTAATTAAAATGTAATGCAAAATCAAAATTTTCTAATCAAGTTTTAATATTTTCTAATTGTAAGCAAGAGCTATGTCATACCATTCTGGTCAAGTTCAGGAACAAGCATTTTGGAAATAAATTTTAGGATTTTATAAAACCGCTATAGAAAAACTTTTGCACTATTGTGCTATTTATATACTGAGCTATAGATAACTTAAACCGCTAAGGTCCTTTCGCAGAATATCGAAGAGAGGGACTAGAGGAGAGAGATGCTTGTTTCGGTTGTTTTGTGACATTGCCAGATAAGCTGGTACTTTGTGGAATAATTATAAGGTCTCGTGAAGTGAAAAAACCTAAAATACATTCTACTGATTAGACAAATAATTTCAACTTTAGTAATACGTATTAGTACACCCATAATAAATATATATTAAACTCGTTACTGTGTATCAATTTTGCTAAATTAAAAGCTCACGAAATTAAAGGTCAAAAATGCTAATTGATTTGAGAATGTCATGTAAGCGACTGTCTTTGTCGTTCTTTTGTTCTGCAAGGTAGTGGTCGAATGTAGCAGATTGTGATTTCAGTTATTTTTATAGGTTAATACGACTGTAATATATTACAAACTCTCCCTACATACTAATACGCTTTTTACTTTAACATTCAAAATTTTTAAAAAATATGCTCAGTTGTCATTTTTTGTATTAGAGAAAAATAATCATTTTTTAAAATGACTCCCTATAAAATGTTCCGCCATTGCATACTTTTACTCTTTAGTATTTCACTAATCGATTGTCGTTTGTACTTTTCTTTTGGTTTAATCATTCGAGCTGAATCCTACACTCTGAGCGCGCTACCATTTGGAGAGTTCCCATCATCTAGAATTAAATATTTAGTCGAAACCAGGAAGGGATTATTTTCAGGAACGAGATTTTTCTTTTTGTTGTATTTTCGTACTTTTACATCGATCCTATTTCTTTTTGAGTAAATTATCCAATTTTAAATTCTCTCCTCCGACGGGTTTGACTTTTTTCTTAATTTAGATCGATACTTTTTTAAGAGGATTGACTGATTAAATATTTATTGAGCGGTTAATTTAAAAAACAAAGAGGTAGTCCATATAATTCGCTTTAACTGAAACATTCGTAATACCCATCATATTCTAGATTGATAACATTCGAGCTCTTTCGGTGCCTTCTTTATTAGTACAGCTGTGTCTACTACACACGAGTTTATTCCGATTTATACTCTGGGAATTTTACAAATAATTAATCGCTGTTATTTGGAAATCAGTCTATATATGTCTATATATAATAGTGTAACATATTTTATGTAACGGACTATACTGAGTAGTGAACGGAAAATGATTATAGACATATACAGTATGTTAAGTTTATATACACCCTTAAATGGCAACACTGCTCGCCGTCGATTTTCCACGAACCTGCTTCATTAACCCGTCCCCAATAATTTGTCATTATACCGTGATTGTTTAACACTTTTACTTCCACTTATATTAAAAAAAGAAGAACCCACGTAGTATATTTATCCCTCCAAAGGGACAACTTTTTCTATAATATTAAATGAAGAGGTCGTGTTTTGAGCGCGAAAAACACATTGTACCTTGCAACGGACAACCTTTCTAAAGTATTTAAAAGACCGCGTACGTCTGTAAATGTAAATCTGTAGAGTCTACGGGAAGATAATTAAAAGCCGAATTGAAGATTGTTGGGAAGATGCTGAAGATTTTGAATGCTTTTGAACTCGTATTTCATAGGAGATTCCATTAATGACTGAATATACAGGGTGATGCATTTGAAAAACCAAAGTTACTAGTAATATAAGAGAAACTGAAAATCTGGCAACATTGCAAATACCAAATACGGAATCTCCGTATCCCAAAATAGGCGTATCTCAATTTTTGTATAATTATGTCTAGTAATTTACGAGATAATTAGCCATTTCCAGACTTTTGGGCCACTCTGTATTATACAACGCGTCTTAGAAAGACGAGAATGAATATATACATACTTACGGTTTCATGACTGTCTATCCGTCCACAAACACAACTTCTCTATTATTAGAACAGAATGACAAATGAGGTGTCGAATGAAAGCTTATAACTCAAATATAGTACTAAAGAGTAGAAATTTGATATCAGACTTCCAATTACTAAAAAATTCATTACTCACGAAGAAAAATTACTCATATGACTTACTTCATACCTGCAATTCTTTTTTCTAAAGAAAACATAAATAAAACATGTTTCGTACTCGATCATATTCTCGCATATTTAAAATAGTCACCTACCTTGTATGTCCGTAGAAATAAAGAACAATACTCGAAGCTAGCACTAGCAACGTCGATAACGTATATAAAGCGAAGGTGACTTGAGAGTTGAGCAAAAACGGCGTTGGACTTCCAAAGCTGTAAACCTTGGCGTTGTGTTTCAAAAGTGGCAGCGCTTTCCATACTCCAACAACGTGAACCTGCAAAAGTTAATAACTAATTATGCCTACGAGTATAATAAAATGTTTACGAAGAAATATATCCCACCCAAGTTTATAAACCGAAAGTTTAAAGAAAAGATATATCTACTAAAAATATGTTTAACGCCTTCTTAGAACATAGCACTCGTTGGTTGGATTTAACGGTACCATCATGATTTTTGATTTTAGACCAGTGATTCTCAAAGTTGACTGGCTCATCTCATAAGAATATAAGAACTTCCAACTTCGGGTTATAAAGAGATTGATAAAACAATTTTCAAATGGGAAAAACAAACAATTTTTTTACAAATCTGTACTGTAAAGGTAAAGGGTAGTAACTCCATTTTTTTCTAATTTGGACTTAAATTGTGGCTAAGCTTAATATGTTCCAATCTTATTTGTAGCAAAAGATGGTATGTGAAGTATTACTGGTGGCCTAGATATTCCTATAAGAAAAAGTAGTATATCCATTAGAGAACGAGGTAAAGTATAGTAACTCCATAAGCTGTCGGATTTGTTTATGGGGTACGCTATTCGCGAGCGGAAATAGTAGTATCTCCACACTAGTGTTAGTCACTTTAATTGACAGAGCGACCCAAAACTGCCAATAAATATCTAGGACTAGAATTAAGCCGTGAAAAAATGTACACATTATATACCTTAAAGTGTGAAGAAGATCACATTCCAAAGAATGAAATTGTTAAATTATGGCTGAATAAAAAATTTTTAATGATTTTAAATTAGCATTTAAATCGGTTTCCGTAGATACTTGTGATAGTTGCGATCAGTTTATGCTACAATTAAAAAACTGTTCCGAGCAAGAAACAATACCATTACGGCGAAATTATGAACAGCATTTTCAAGAAGCAGAAAGTCGATACAAAATGAAAGCAAATGATAAAAAGGAAAGCAGAGAATCAGCTGGAAAAACTAAAATTATAATGTGTGATTTGCAGGAATGCTTGCCTACGCCTTGTTTGACAAATAACCAAAGTTTCTACAAGCTAAAATTATGAACTATAAATTTCACGATATACGATGCCACAGAAAATAAATCGTATTGCCTTATCTGGGATGAATCCGAAGCTGGAAGGGGTGGTCATGGAGGAAATTGCCTCGGCATTAACTAAATGGGCTATGACAGAGTAGGCTATTTCTATCACAAATTGATGTGGAAGAATTTGTTATTAGGTCAGATAATTGCCCTAATCAAAACCGCAATGTTATGGTAATGATGAGCTACTTTTGGCTTTTGAACATCTGCCCTAATTTAAAAGTAGTTAACCATAAATATTTACAGAGAGAACACACTCATTTAGAAGCTGATCAACAAAGATCTGTAAAAAAACAGCCAACAGTACAGATCGTAACGCCTTGGGATTGGCAGCAATTAATCATTTCCGTAAGTGCTCAGGTGATTATAATCTAAGATGATTTCAAAAATTTTGAAGTACTTTACGCTCAGTCTCAATCCCTATTAATTAGTAGAAAGAAAAATACCGACAATAATAATTTCTTTATTTTAAACGTAGTCCAATTCCAAATTAAAAAAGACACATCGACCATAATTTTTTATAAAGAGGATTTTGAAGAAATTAGACCCAAAAAATTCTCTAGAAGAACAGTAACTGCGACCATTCTTCCAGAGCAGTTACCACTACGATATTAAAAACCGAAAGGGATCACACAGAAGAAAAAGGATTACTTACTAATTCTTTTACAATGAATTCCCAGTCAATTTCATGAGTTCTATAGAAATTTATTTGTTATCAAAAAAAAAAAAAAAAAATGTTGATGACAGCGGTGATGATTAAAGGTTCTTTTATCAGTTTTTGTGAGGCACTTACTGTTTTATCTGCTGGTACATGCCCAGGCAAAAGATCTTAAGTCCCAATATTATCCAATATATAAACAATTTTTTTATCACAGTAGGACAATATTAATTAACTAATATAAAAAGTTACAATTATATAAATACATGATTTCATATGTCTTCAGTTTAAGAATGATTGAAATAATTTTCTGGAGCTCATCTTATTTTCCCATTATCTCAAAACTTCACTAGGTGGATATACTACCCTTTACCTCTACGGTACAGAAATTCATAATTGATAATAAATTTCAAGGAGTATTATTTTTAGTATCGACATCAATCTTGTCACTTTTAATCGGAATCAGTTTGTTTAGTAGAAAAAGATCTAATGTAGAATTTTATTTTATTTTTTATATTTATAGTCCAAATGGCATCTCGCTGTTAGCCAGTTTGATCCGCGTGTGCTACTCGTATAGGAGCACGATAAGCGACAAATAAGCTAAAGCACTTCAATTTTCTTGCTTCAAAAAACAATAGCGGTGTTGTAGGCGTCCTAGCGTAAGGTTTATGTAAAATAAAAGTGTAACATAGTACAGTATTTCTTTTATTTACGTTTAAATCTTATAGCCAGTAAGGAGCAGATTAAATGAGGACTTGGTTTGTCACCATCATATTTGTTTTCAGTGACCTCGAACAACCCTCGAATAATAACTGTTGACTGATTTATAATAAAAATAAATATGAAACTCCAAGAGATGAGGTCCACTCGGGCCACCAGGTAGCTCCCTCGAGTAACACAATTAACTCATTCCTGTCGATATTTTCCTATTTGCAAATTTTTCACTTTCTTTACACTTTGAAAATTTATTTTCTTTATCCACAAAGTGCAATTTTCGTTTGACCACCGGGAATTTTATTTACAAAGTTTCCTGACACTTTTTCGAATCTGCGGAAAATTGGTAGGCTAGTGCTTCGAAGTAGTAAAAGAGTTTAAATATCTAGGGACGGTAATCACAGATGACAACCACATAGAAAAAGAGGTCTCAGCAAACATAGCTGAGGAGAATAGAGCGTTATATTCCGTATCATCATTATTAAGATCTTAGCTGGTAGAAAGTAAATCTAAATTAAGACTGGACAAGTCAATTATTTGCCCAATTGTTACAGATGTAATTAAAACATGAACTCTACATCAGCGGAATATAAATAAGCTGCTGGTATTTGAAAGGAATTTTCTTGAGAATGATATTTGGATCTCAAATAAATGAAGTGACAGGAGAGTGGAGAAGACGCCGTAATGCTGGATTGTCGATTCTGTATGATACTAAAAATGTCATATACAGGGTGTCCCAGACTAATTTACCCACGCTATATTTTTTAAACGAATAGAGATTTTCAAATGGGACAAAAAGTGATCTATTCTACTTGTAAAACACTTTAATATAGCATAAAACAATGATCCCCTAAATATTCATCCCTTAGTTACAACCCCTAACTTTAATTTTTTTAATAGCACCCTGTATATTTTTTTATAGTTTTGGATGTGGTCTTCTATCGTCTATTCAACAGATTTATTAAAAATAAAATCGGTTTATAAATAATCAAGAAATCAATTAATTTTTTATTTTTGTTAATTATGTGTCCCAGACTAATTTATCCAGGCTATATTTATTAACAAAATAGAGATATTTTAAAGGGTCAAAAACTGGTCTATTCCATTTATTATACACTTTAATATAGCGAAGAAAAAAATCATCCCCTAAATATTCATCCCTTAGTTACAACCCCTAACTTTAATTTTTTTAATAGCACCCTGTATATTTTTTTATAGTTTTGGATGTGGTCTTCTATCGTCTATTCAACAGATTTATTAAAAATAAAATCGGTTTGTAAATAATCAAGAAATCAATTTATTTTTTATTTTTGTTAATTAAGTGTCCCAGACTAATTTATCCAGGCTATATTTATTAACAAAATAGAGATATTTTAAAGGGTCAAAAACTGGTCAATTCCATTTGTAATACACTTTAATATAGCGAAGAAAAAATCATCCCCTAAATATTCATCCCTTAGTTACAACCCCTAACTTTAATTTTTTTAATAGCACCCTGTATATTTTTTTATAGTTTTGGATGTGGTCTTCTATCGTCTATTCAAGAGATTTATTAAAAATAAAATCGGTTTGTAAATAATCAAGAAATCAATTTATTTTTTATTTTTGTTAATTAAGTGTCCCAGACTAATTTATCCAGGCTATATTTATTAACAAAATAGAGATATTTTAAAGGGTCAAAAACTGGTCAATTCCATTTGTAATACACTTTAATAAAGCGAAGAAAAAATCATCCCCTAAATATTCATCCCTTAGTTACAACCCCTAACTTAATTTTTGTAATAGCACCCTGTACATTTTTTTCTAGTTTTGGATGTGGTCTTCTATCGTCTATTTAACCGATTTTTTTTTTAATAAAATGGGTTTGTAAGGTATCAAGAAAATATCAGTTTATTTTTTATTTTTGTTAAATTAATCAACGAAACATACCATCAACCACACTGGAAGATAACGTATGCTCCTACAAAGACCAAAAAAATTAAAAATAATATTTAAATAAAAAGGTTGTGTAAGAAGTTATACTACTAATATTTCTTTTCTATTCTATTTTTTAAGGCTATCTTGATTAATTTAACAAAAATAAAAAATAAACTGATATTTTCTTGATACCTTTTTACAAGCCATTTTATTTTAAAAAAATCGATTAAATAGACGATAGACGACCACATATAAAACTATAAAAAATGTAGAGGGTGCCATTAAAAAATTTAAGTTAGGGGTTGTAACTAAGGGATGAATATTTAGGGGGTGATTTTTTTTCGCTTTTTTAAAGTGTATTACAAATGGAATAGACCAATTTTTGACCCTTTAAAAAATCTCCATTTTGTTAATAAATATAGCCTGGATTAATTAGTCTGGGACACTTAATTAACAAAAATAAAAAATAAATTGATTTCTTGATTATTTACAAACCGATTTTATTTTTAATAAATCTGTTGAATAGACGGTAGAAGACCACATCCAAAACTATAAAAAAATATACAGGGTGCTATTAACAAAATTAAAGTTAGGGGTTGTAACTAAGGGATGGATATTTAGGGGATGATTTTTTTCTACGCCATATTAAAGTGTATT